ATATTGATCATTGACAATGTGCAATAAGTTTAATTGCAATTTAATTCATATATTTGCAACTAAGGGTATCCTACACACACAATGTCTAAAATTTTCTCCCATTCGGCCAAGTGATATAAAATCTTCTCCAGCCGTCTTTAAGATTAAACATTTCAGTGCCACTTTTTTGCACGATTGTCATATAAAGTTCATAGTAAAAAAATGAATTTTTCAAAGCTTCTATTTAATCTAGTCTACTTAGCTCACTGACTCCCACTGAAATTTCAAAACACTTTTTATGATTTCATAAATCTCTCTCTTATTCATTTTAGTCATGATTATTCATAATGAGAAGCACCCAACAAAGCCTATATAAATTACCCATATAGCTATATAATTTAACTTTGTTCTTTCTTCCTTGCTGAAATATAGTTTGCTTCATATTTGCATTGTGTTAAATAATGCAATTGGCTTCCTTTATTCTTTCTTCCTTGCTGAAATCTAGTTTGCTTCATGTTGATCAAGAATAAGTTAGAGGTGTATGCAAATAAAGCCACTTGCAAAACCTTTACATGAATTGACATTAAATATTTACAAAACTAATGCTTTTAAAACTTGAAATGAAATAAAATCCAGATCTATATTTCAATTATACGTAAGACAACATTCGGTCTAATGAAACAGTCTTTGAAACAATAAAAGAAATATAATTGTACATGAATGCTTCAATGAATAAAGTTTAGAATTTAATGGTTATGAACTTCATTTGTCCTGATCATGAGATTAGTTTCTACTATAAGTTGAAAATAAGGTAACCGGGAATGTGCAGGCTCGCAATTGCAGCTTGAAATTTTCTTGATCCTTATCTTTGATTTAAGTTAATTTGAGTGAATTTGATAGTTTGCTTCAAATCAATCTTTTTGTGCATAGTATTTTAGCGAGCCAATAAAAATTGGTACATTTTACAATGAAATGAAAATGAAAAGATTTTTCAAACTTACTGTTTGCAGATTTCATCTTTGATTAGTGGATGAAAATCTTTACCAAATCTTCTTAAAGTATGAAACAAAAATCCACTATGCGTAATGACTGCTATTTCTGTCTCTCTTCTTGTCAATAACCTTGAAAAAAGAAATGAAACGCACATCAGCTTCCTTGAAATTTTCTGACAGCATTAAATACCACTACCAGAGCAAGGTGAAAAGTATTTTCTCAAAATTTGGAATATCAGCCTTTAACAGCTCAAAAAATACAAGAAGGATAAGAGTACCCATGCATTCAAAGAAGCCGAGTACTTCCTTTTTCAAGCTTTGTATATTTATAACTAATTGAACTCACAGGGCTTTGGCATGTAAACGATATAAATTCAAGAGTAGTTTTGGAATTTTGTCAAAAAATGTTGTTCACGATGTTCTATAAACCAAGACATGATTAGTTCAAGCTTCAATTCTTAAAACCATAAACTAGAATGAAAAAAAAAAAGGAAAAAAAAAAAATTGAAGGCAAAACTAATTGGCAACTTCATCCCTTCACTAACAGTTATGGTTTGCCACAGCCTAAGGGAAGCCATAACGATTTCTAGAAGGTTCAGCGTGCTGCAAGTTTTACAGCTTGGCTATTATTCTGCTACAATTTTTTCCTGCAGGTTCGATTATGGGTTTCTTCTCCCTGAGAATATGTGGTCAGGGGGGCTCAGATTGTATTTCTTGTAACATTTAATTATTGTGAATACTGAGGCTTTCTCATGGCTTTTCTACCCCATCCAGCTATTTTGGACAGGAGTAGGGAAATCTTAAATTCGGTTGGAAATAATTTTATCAATAAAGATTGCAATTTAAATATGGATTAAGTTGATCTGTTACGGAACGCATTTATTAGCCGATGGAGATGAAAAGGCTATATATAGATGCTCAAAAGCATGTAGTTTATGAATTTTTGAAAGAAAACAATTTCTCCTTGTTAAATTGGTGATAAAGGCAACATATTTCATAGGGATATTTAAATCAAATTATAGTGGACTCAAATAAAGAAAAAAATAAAAATACAATCACATAAATAGAAATAGAATATAGATAAAAAAAGGAAACTACATAATATAAATAAGGAGAATTAATAAATAATAACGGTTATGGAAAGCAAATAAACTTAATAAATTTATACTCCCCCTCAAGTTGAAGCATAGATGTCAATCATGTTCAACTTAGATTTGAAGTCATTGAACAAAGAACAACAAAGATTTTTAGTGAGGATATATGTTAATTGACCAATAAAGGGCACAACAAAAATACAAATCTCCCCGGACTCGATCTTTTCCTTCATGAAGTTTCTGTCAATCTCTACATGTTTCGTACGATCATGGTGGACTGGATTGTGCGCAATACTGATAGCCGCCTTATTATCACAAAATAGCTGCAGTGTGACAGAAGTTGACATACAAAATTCACTAAACATGATGCGTAACTAGAGAGCTTCACAGATCCCCAAGGACATAGACTGGAATTCAGCTTTAGCTGTGCTCTGAGAACCACAAATTGTTTTTTTTATTTTTCCACGTGACAATATTTTCCCATATAAATGAGTGATACCCCAAGGTGGAATGTCGATCATGAATCGACTCGACCCAATTAACATCTTTATAAACAACAATAGACCGAGATGTGTGACGAGGAAAAATAAACTTGAGCCCGGTGTATCTTTTAAATAGAGGAGAATCTGGCGGACAGCTTGGAAATGATACTCATATGGGTCATGCATGAATTGACTCACTATACTAATTGCGTGACATATGCCAGGGCGAGTATGGACGAGGTGGATGAGTTTCCTCACAAGGAGCTGGTAGTGAGTCTTGTTGACCAGCATAGTATTGAGAATATCTGATAATTTTGCATTGGGATCCATGAATACAACCACGGATTTGCACAGAAGAAAATTCTTCTTTGTCAAAAGATCAACCACATATTTGCGTTGATATAAAAAAATGCCTCGAGATGATTGAGTCACTTCCATGTCTAAAAAGTACCAGAAAGATCCCGAATCTTTTATTTTAAAGGACCTAGCAAGGATGTCTTTCAAGGATTCCAATGCTGAGAGATTGTTTCTTGTAAGAACAATATCGTCAACATAGACAATCAGAATAGCTATATGACCATTAGAAGAATGTTTGAAGAGAGAGTGATCTGGTTGAACTTGAGTAAAATCATGGCCCACAAACACCTTTGTGAACTTGTCGAACTAGGCTTTTGGAGACTGCTTTAGCCTATATAGGTACTTTCGCAGCCTGCACACTAGTCCTTTGGAGGCAGTAGAGTCAAAGCTAGGAGGGAGACACATGTATACCTCTTTTGTAAGCTCTCCATATGTCAAGTTGAAATAAAAGCCAATCCAGATTCACCTCAAGGGACAACAGGACTCGAATAGTGTTTAACTTGACCATTGGAGAAAATGTCTCTTCATAGTCAACTCCGTAGGTCTATGATTACCCTTAAGCCACCAACCATTCCTTGTTGCGTTCAAAGGATCAATCAGTTTTGAACTTGGTGTTGAAAATTCATCTACACCCCACAACTTTCTTACCCTAAGGAAGATCAACGACATCTCACGTAT